CTTCACTGACCCCACACCAGACAAAGGACTGATCCCCAATATATACAAAGAACTCACAAATTAGACATCAAATTTTAAATAATCTAATGAATAGCGAACAGAACTAAACAGAGAATTCTCAACAGAAAGAATTCAAATGGCCAAAAGACACTTAAGAAAATGTTCAATACCCTTAGTCATAAGAAAAATGCAAATCAAACCCACTTTGAGTTACCACCAGTCAGAATGGTTAAGATAAAAAACAAGGAGGAGGCAGAGGCAGGTGAATCTCTGTGAGTTCGAGTCCACCCTACTCTACAAGAACTAGTTCCAGGACAGGCCCCAAAGCTACAGAGAAACCCTATTTCGAAAAACCAAAAAAAAAAAAAAAAAAAAAAAGCAATGATAGTTTGTGCTGGACAGGTATTGGGAACACTCCTCTATTGCTGGTGTAAACAAATACTTGTACAATCACTCTGGGAATCAGTATGGTGATTTCTCAGAAAATTAGGAATCAACCTACTTCACGACCCAGCAATACCACTCTTGGGCAACAAATTCTGTTGACAGAATTTTCTGTTCCACCCAATCCTGAAGCCATTCTGTCCCAAAAGAAACACACAGAGGCAAACATTGATTATAAACTGTTTGTCCTATTAGTTCAAGGTTCTTTTTAACTAATTCTCACATCTTAATTTAACCTACAATTCTTATCTGTGTTAGACACATGGCTTGGTAACTTTCATCAGTGAGGCATTCTCATCTTGTTTCCTTTGCATCCTGGTGACAACTGGAGACTGAGCCTTTCCTTTTCCCAGAATTCTCCTATTCTTTTCACCATGCCTATACTATATTGGCCACTGGTCAATCAGTATTTTATTAAAACAATACAAGTAACAAAACTTTACAGGGTACAAGGCCATTGTCTCAAAGTATTTCTCCTTTTTCCTTTCAAGAATTATAAATATAATCTCCTTTGTTAACGTTTTTCCTGACCATTATTCATAATAACTTGTAATTAAAACTCTAAACAAAGACAAAAATCCATAATCCATTTGTTTTGGAATGTGGGCATAGCTTTCTAGGCTACTTTCTGCTGATTGAAGGTGCTGATCATTTTATGGAGACCTAAAGAAAATTTAGGATTTTGGTCAAGTACTGGAATATTCTGTGAAGCTTGTTCATCTCAGGCAGCAGTCTTGAGGTTGTTCTGAATGTAGAACTCAGAGGAAATTCCAACAGATATAAGATAGAATTAGAAAAGAGACATCCTTAGTGTGGAAACCCAGACTTAGAAAGATGATAATGGTATGTACTCACTCATTAGTGTATACTGGCTACAAGGCAAAAGATATTGAACCTATAGTTCACGACCCTAGAGTATCTAAGTAACAAGATGAACCCTAAGAGAAACATATATAGATCCCCTAGGGAAGATGAAATAGACATGATCTCTGGACAAAATCGGGATCATGGGGGTGTGGGAAGAACGTAGGTCAGAATAGAAAGAGAGGAGAAGGGGAGGATGAGGAGAACTTGAGAAAACAGGATATTCGAGATGGGGAAAGGACAGAGAAGAAAAGGAAGAAGAGAGATATCTTCATTGAGAGAGCCATTATGGGGCTAGCAAGAAACCTGACATTAGAGAAACTCCTAGAAATCCACAAGGATGATTCCAGCTTAGACCTTAAGCAATAGAGGAGAGGGTGCCCGAACTGGCTTTGCTCTGTAGTCAAGACTGATGAATGTGTGTGTGTGTGTGTGTGTGTGTGTGTGTGTGTGTATGTGTGTGGGTGGAGAGAGAGAGAGAGAGAAAGACAGACAGACAGAGGGAGAAAGAGAGAGAGCAAGAGACATTTTCTGCTGGTCAAAATGGTAACTGATTAAAGATTCTGCAACTTTCACATATGAAACCAAGGGTAAACATTTCTCTCATGAATTTCTGGAAGAAAATAATATGATTATAAAAATTTAAAGGGGCAGGAAATTCTGCCATGTAGAGCTGTAAAGCAGTTGTCTGGTGTCTTCCTCAGGTTGGGTGATGCTCTCCTATGCCAGTGCCTTTCATTGTTCATGAAGCCAACAATTTTTGGTCCAATCTGATTTATTAAGATTTCCAAAGCAGATTCATATCTGAGGATAATAATCCTGTTTATGGGGCTTTGAATTGAACTCAATATTAAATAGTTACAAAGTAATTGACATGGGGAAACATACCAGTCTATCTTTATGTTTCCTGCCCAGAAAGTTTCTCAATATAGATGGATGCATAAGTAAATTACTTAAAGATTACTCTCCTTTTTAGGATAAAATTAACAGTCATTGGTTTCAAGCATAGCCTCAGACTATTCCCTTCTTTCCTCTGACTAAAAACAGAAGCAAAACAATCTCTGAAAAATTCCTTTGGGAATCTAGAATCTTAGAAATGGGAGATTAGCTTGATTTTATTATTTTAAATTATCATGCTAAAAATGAATGGCAATATATCTTTCTTTAAGCAGAGATTATCTTAATAACATTATAGTGCTAACACTTATGTGGTTCTTCCCAAGTGCAGAGCACTTTTTTAAGTACTTTGTATGAAATAGTAATTTTAATGTTCATTAAACCATATATTAAAAGTTCTATTACATCTATTTTACAATAAAGTAAGTAGTCAAGAAGAGCTGACTTGCTTATGATCAGAAAACAAGGAAATGACAGAGGGAGAATGGATTTGCTCATGGAACCCCCATTCTCAAAATTTTAGCATTCAAGTCCCTTCCTTAAAATCGCAGTGGTGTACATTGACAATCTCTGCTAATGATTCTTTTCAGTATTTTCCTAGAGGTTATTTATGTCTTTAAATTGGTATCATGTCTTTAAATACATCTTATTTTATTTCTCAACCCATGTTTATTCAATGCATACTACATTTCTGGTTCTCTACTATGTACTGTAACTTACTGAATTATGGGAAAGACAGAAAATATCCCTTTGTACAACTAAAATGAAAACACAGACTACATGAATAGATCAGTAAAATCAATATAGACAGAAACTGAGAAGTTAAAGAAAAGCAAAGTGTGAAAAATCACACAGGTTAGCATCTGTTTTCTGATAGTTAAGTAAGAATGTTGTAGGTAGGGATGTTTAATCCTATATCTAAAGAAAAGCAAGCAGAAATACTTCCAAAATGCTAGAAAACCAATTCTGATAAATATTAATAAAAAGCACAAAGAGTTGGGTGCAAAAGCAAAAAACAAAGAAAGAAATGTAGGTGTGTTATTCTACTCATCAGGTCAAGGCCAAATGATCCATGACTGGAGACAATCTCAATACATGGAAGATCTCCACTCTGATTTAAATAAATTGCAGTCAGAGATAAGTTGTTAGAAAAAAATTGTTTGTCAAAATGGGCATAATCATCAACTGAAACAGTCAAATTAAGAACATAAGCATGTAAAAACAGGAATAAAAATGAATACATATATCAAGAAAATAGTAATTTATGGAAAATGGGTATAGGAATGTCATTCTAGAGACTGCTAGAATGAGACTGTAAGTATTGCAGCTGATAGATACAGCAAACTGAATGCTGCAGATATTGTTAATGAAGCAGTGATACACCGATGCTTCAATGACTCTAAGACTAACATTCCTATCTAAATATGCACAGAAAGCATTGTGATCAAAATTGTTAAATACAGCATGCACAAAAGAGAGAAATATGAATATACATTTTGGAGATTGCTAAGATCAATTATCAAAAGCTAAAACAAAGCTAACAGTTAAAAACAATGACATGAGAATTAATGGAAATATACGTTTCTTGTGATTGCAACAATTCAGAAATCAGCTATACTTTCCTCAAATATTAGAGAGATCTGTAAGAATGATCATGTATGTGCCAAGTGGCAATTTTATTGAATTATTGAATTTTAAAAGAGCTGACTCCTGCACATCTTTAATACCAGTAATTTGGAGACTGATGCACTTGGATCTCTGTGAGTTTGAGGCCAGCCAGATCTCCAAGAGGTAGTTGCAGGACAGGTTCTAAAACTACAGAGAATCCCTTCTTGAAAAACCAAATAAATAAATAATAAAAAGAGCTGACACCTTGCAGACTATATTCTCAGATAGAAATAAATGGCTTTGTACTTGGTTGTGATAGTACATGTTTATAATCCAGGCATTCAAGACTAGCCCAAGAAAGACAGCAATTAATTTAAAAAAAAATAAAGAAGAAAGGAATTGGATGCATTGAGAGAAGAGACAAGAGAAAGAGGAAGATATCAATGATGAATACCAAGGAGAAACTTTAAAACATATTAGTGATTGAATTTTAAAACACTTCATGTATCAAAGAAATTATAATGAAAGTTTGAATATATTTATAAGTAAAAATATGAAAGTTGTACACTTTTGAGAACCAGGGGCAATAAATAAAGATTCATATCAATTCAAATAGATGTGAAACTGTATCAAGAAGTCAGGGAAATACGATATATAGGCATAGAAAAAAAAGACAATGAGCTCATGAGCAGTAGCCATAGTCCCCTGGGTCAGCCTGAAATGAGCAGTCGCTCCCTAGGCTTCCTCACATGATGTGGCTCCTTTCCTAAAGATCAGAGTCTCCAGAGTGAAGGGCTATAGTCTCTGACCTCCTCTCCTCCCAAATCACAGAACTGGAGGGTGAGGGTATTACAGTTCACAGTACCAACAGGCCAAGAAGAAGGATATGCATTGCTTTACTTTAACTATGGCTAATATGTTTTGGCAGAGAATGATAACTCTATGATACTCAATCACCCAAATTCACACGAGTATACCATTTTCTGGTATCCTCTTCAATTTCTTTCTTCAAAGACTTGTTCTTGTCAAGTAGATCTTTCACTTCCTTGGTTAGTGCTACCCCAAGATACTTTATGCTATTTGTGGCTGTTCTGAAAGGTGATGTTTCTCTGATTTTCTTCTCAGCTTCTTTTTTTTTTGTCTGTTTTTTTGTTTTTTAAACTTTTAATGATGTAAACAAAATATACCTAAAAGCGAAGCTTCTGGAAAAACCATTTGTTCTTCCCTGTCTTGTATCCTTCCTCAACTTTGACTTTGGCTTCCCTCCTTGCCTTGTGTTTCAGGGTTGGGTCCCTAAAGACATCCTTTTTGACAACAGTTTTGTCCAGGATTATGTCCACAGAGTACCTTGTGGGCATCAGGTGGTTGTAGTTATAAACCTTCACAAAGAACTTGATCTTGGATCTCTTGGCAAATTTCTTCTTGCCCATGGCAGCTGTTACCTTTCGGGGATAGTAGTCAATTCCAGCCACCAGGGAATTGCTGTAAGGGCGGTCTGAGGTGCCATTATCAATGTTCTTTACAATGATGGCTTTGTGTCCGGAGTAGCATCCAGCCAGGACAAGCACCACTTTCCTGGGTTTCATGAACTTGCCCATTTCGACAGTGAGCATCCGGTTCCCAGCAGCTCCTCTCAGCTTCTTTATCCTTCGTGTATAGGAGGGCTACTGATTTTTTTGAGTTGGTCGTGTATCCTGCCACATCAATGAAGGTATTTATCAGCTCTAGGAGTTCTCCGGTAGAGCTTTTGGGGTCACTTATATATACTATCAAATCATCTGCAAATAATGAAAGTTTGACTTCTTCCTTAACAATTCGAATCCCCTTGATCTCCTTATGTTACTTTATTGCTATAACTTCAAGCACTATGTTGAAGAGATATGGAGAGAGTGGATAGCCTTGTCTTGTTACTGATTTTACTGGAATGGCTTTGAGTTTCTCTCAATTTAATATGATGTTAGGTGTATAATGTTTTTATTTGCTGTATATTGTTTTTATTATATTTAGGTATGATCCTTGTATCCCCAATATTTCCAAGACTTTGATCAGAAAGAGGTATTAAATTTTGACAGATGCTTTTTCAGCATCTAGTGAAATGATCATATGGATTTTTTTCCTTTCAGTTTATTTATATGATGGATTACATTGATAGATTTTTGTATGTTGAACCAACCCTGCATCTCTGAGTTGAAGCCTACTTGCTCATAATGGTTCATTTTTTTGATGTGTTTTTTATTTGGTTTACCAGTGTTTTATTGAGAATTTTTGCATCGATATTCATGAGTGAAATTGGTCTGTAATTCTCTTCTTGGTTGAATCTTTGTGCGGTTTCTGTATCAGGGTAACAGTAGCTTCATAAAAATAATTTGGCAATGACCCTTCTGTTTCTATTATGTGGAACATATTGAGTAGTATAGGTATTAGCCCTTCTTGGAAGTTCTGGTAGAATTCTGCACTAAAACCATCCATCCCTGGGCTTTGGTTGTTGGGAATTTTTTGATGACAACTTATTTCCTTGTGACTTATAGGTCTATTTAAATTGCTTACCTGGTCTTGATTTAATTTTGATATATGGTATCTATCTAAAAATTGTCCATTTTTTATCATTTACAATTTTGTGGAGTACAGTCATTTTTTAGTAGGACCTAATGATTTTCTGAATTTCCTCAGTGTCTGCTGTCATGTCCCCATTTTCATTTCTGATTTTGTTAATTTGGGTGTTCTCTCTCTGCCTTTTCATTAGTTTGTGTAGTGATCTGTCAATTTTGTTGATTTTCTCAAAGAACCAATTATTTGTTTCATTGGTTCTTTGAATTGTTTTCTATGTTTCTATTTTGTTGATTTCAGCCCTCAGTTTGATTATTTCCAGTCTTCTACTCCTCCTGGGTGAGTCCTTCTTCTTCTTTCTTTCTTTCTTTCTTTCTTTCTTTCTTTCTTTTAGAGCTTTCAACTGTGCTGTTAAGTCTCCAATGTGAGCTTTCTCCATTTTCTTTATGTGGGCATTTAGTGCTATGAACTTTCCTCTTAGCACCATTTTCATGGTGTCCCAGAAGTTTGATGTAGGAGGGTTGGTCATATGTCTATGTGTTACTTTCATTGGTTAATAAAGAAACTGCCTTGGCCCTTTGATAGGACAGGAAATTAGGTAGGCAGAGTAAACAGAACAGGATGCTGGGTAGAAGGCAGTGAGGCAGCCGCCATGGGGTCAGACGCCATGGAGCCAGCTGCCAGGTCAGACATGCTGAATCTTTCCTGGTAAGCCACAACTTTGTGGTGCTACACAGATTATTAGAAATGGGTTGATCAAGATGTGAGAGTTAGTCAATAATAGGCTGAAACTAACGGGCCAGGCAGTGTTTAAAAGAATACAATTTGTGTGTTGTTATTTTGGAGCATAAGCTAGCCAGATGGCCGGGAGCTTGACAGCAGGAATGCAGCCTGCTGCTCCTTCTACATAGATTTGGGTATGTTGTGTTTTCATCTTCATTGAATTCAAATAATACTTTAATTTCTTTCTTTATTTTTTCCTTTACCCAGGCGTTCAGTAGTTGACTGCTCTGTTTCCATGAGTTTGTAGGCTTTCTGTGGGTGGTATTGTTGCTAAATTCTGACTTTACTCCGTGGTGATCCAATAAGACACAGGTGGTTACTCCAAATTTTTGTATCTGTGGATGTTTGCTTTGTTACTGAGTATGTGATCAATTTTCAAGAAGGTTCCATGAGTTGCTGAGAAGAAAGTATATTCTTTCCTGTTTGCGTGAAATGTTCTATAGATGTCTGTTAAGTCCATTTGATTCATTGTATCTCTTAATTCTCTTATTTCTCTCTTAAGTTTCTGCTTGGTTGATCTGTCCATTGGCAAAAGAGGAGTTTTGAAATCTCCTATGATTAGTGTGTGGGATTTGATGTGGGATTTGAGTTTTAGTAATGTTTCTTTTACATATGCGAGTGCTTTTATATTAGGTGCATAGATATTCAGAATTGAGACTACATCTTGATGAATTGTTCCTGTTACGAGTATAAAGTGTCCTTCTCCATCTCTTATGATTGATTTTAGTTTAAATCAATTTTGTTAGATATTAGGATAACCACACCTGCTTGTTTCTTAGATCCATTTGATTGGAAATCCTTTTCCCAACCCTTTACTCTGAGGTAGTGTCTGTCTTTGAGGTTGATGTGTCTTGTAAAAAGCAGAATGGTGGATCTTGTTTTCATATCCATTCTCTTACCATGTGCCTTTTTGTAGGTGAACTGAGTCTAATGATATTAAGAAATATTAATGACCAGTGGTTGTTAACTCTGTTTATTTTTTGGTGGTAGTGTTTGTATGTTTCTCTTCTTTGAGTTGTGTTGGTGGAGGGTTATTAGATGCCTGTGCTACTGTGGGTGTTGTTACCTTTCTTGAGTTGTAGTTTTCCTTCTAGTACTTTCTGTAAGGCTGAGTTTGTGGATACATATTATTTAACTCTGTTTTTGTCATGGAATACCTTGTTTTCTCCATTGATAGTGAAAGAAAGGTTTTCTGGGTATAGTAGTCTGGGCTTGCATCCATGGTCTCTTAGTGTCTGTAACACATCTATCCAAGGCCTTCTGGCTTTCATGATTTTCATTGAGAAGTCAGGTTTAATTCAGATAGGCTTACCATTTATAATTTATTTGACCTTTTTCCTTTGAAACTCTTAAAATTCTTTCTTTGTTCTGTATGTTTTGTGTTTTCATTATGATATGGAGAGTGGATTATTTTTTGCTCCAGTCTATTTGGTGTTCTGTAATGTTCTTGTACTTTCATTGTGCTATCCTTCTTTAGCTTTGGGAAGTTTTCTTCTATAATTTTATTGAATATATTTTCTGGGCCTTTGAGCTGGAGTTCTTCTCCTTCTTCTATCCCTATTATTCTTAGGTTTGGTCATTTCATGATGTCCCTGATTTATTTTATGTTTTGTGTTCAGAACTTGTTGGATTTGCTGTTTTCTTTGATCAATGAATCTATTTCCTCTATAGTATCTTCAGTGCCTGAGATTCTTTCTTCTATCTCTTGAATTCTGTTGGTTATACTTGCTTCTGTAGTTCCTGTTCATTTACTCAGATTTTCCATATCCAGCCTTTCCTCAATTTGTGTTTTCTTCATTAACTCCATTTCGGTCTTCAGGTATTGAACTGTTCCTTTACCTGTTTGATTGCTTTTTCTTGCTTTTCTTGGGTATCTTTGAGGATTTATTAATTTTTTTTCTAACTTTTGTTTGTCTTCCTTTTCTTTAAGGGATTTTCTTCATTTCCTGTTTAAAGGTCTCCATCATTTTCATTTACTTTTATAGTCATTTTATTCTACTTCTTCTGGATTAGGATGTTCAAGTTTTCCTGTTGCATGTTTGCTGGATTCTGGTGTAACCATGTTGCTTTTCAGGATGTTGGAGGAATTCTTGCATTGGTGCCTGCCCATCTCTTTCTTCATATGAGGCCAGCAGAGTCTTGGTGTCTTGGCCCAATCTTTGCTGTGGCTGAGTATTTGGAAGTTTTTCTTGTTCTGCTTTCTCTTAGGTCCCCTCAGCACTGGAGCAGGCTCTCAGATCCCCTCAGCACTGATGCAGGCTGTGTTACAGGGTTCTAAGAGCCTTGCAGGTGAAAAGGCGGGCTCTCCATTTCTCTCAGCATGGAGCAGAGTCTCTTGCAGGGTTCCAAGAACCTCATAGACAAACAATGTGGGCTTGGTGGCAGGGTGGGGTGGGAGAAAGAGGGCCCAGCAGCAGGAACACTACCCGCTGGCTCTCGGTCCTCTCAGCCCTGAAGCAGGCTGTGATGGGGATTGCAAGGACCTTATGGAAGAAAAGGTGGGCTTGGGGGCAGGGTGGGAGTTGTGTGGGAACACAACCTGCTAGATGGCCAGTAAAGCCTAGAGAATTGGGAGGGAGGGACTGGATTCTATCTCCCTAGTAAGGTAGTAAGGTCCCAGAGAGTGGCACTTCTGGCTGTCTGGTCATGTGGCCACAGACTCACCTTTCAGGTTCCCTCAGTATGGGAGTCAAATATGGGGTCTTAAGAATAAGGTAAAATGCAGTAGAAGGCAGCTGAATCTCAACATTAGTCTTGGAGTGAAACATATCCTTTAGGATAGCATATGACATGGGATATTCTAAAAGGAGATAAACACTCCAACATTCAGTCTTGCATGGGAAATATTTAAGCTCAGAAAGTAAGTAACTCAAAGGGTCCAAGGGAGTCCCTTAAACTGACCAGATTCACCAAATTCCATATGTGAACTATTGGACTGATGAGAAATCTCAGAAAATTTGAGCTGCCTAGAAGAGCCTCAGATCAATCAAACTATTTGATAAGAACATTCTCCTTCCTGTTGGGCTGCTGCCAGTCTGTGCTCTAGGTTTTTAGCTTTTCAAATTATTGCTCATGCTCAAGTGGGCTTTTGGTGATGCAACTGTCACCAAGGCAATCTTGTTCTTGTAATTCCTCATTCATACTCTCATGAAGAACCCCAATAAAATGCATTCTTTTACAAAGTTTAAGTTTGGTAGTATTTGTATGTGGTCTGTTACTGATCCTCTGTTTTGGGTCATCAATATTTTTTCACATCTCCCCAGGAAAG